AAAATTTAGATGGGCAAATTATGCAAGAAAAATGCAAAATTATGCAAGTTACCCTTACACTTACACCATTCGCGACACGTTTTTCACTTTTTCATCGAGAATATTCATGTTTTATGTACAGAAAAATTGAAAACAGAATATATCAGTATCAATAATTTGTTGAGTATTTGGATAGAAAACAATACACATCAGTCAGAAAAAAACAACCAAAAAATATAATCTGTGTAAATTTCAGCTGTTGATCAATACTTTAATAGTATAGAGGACAGAAAAATGGAGAAAAATTTTTTTTGAATAAAGGACATCTGGACCTCTGATGCTGGCACATCACAAAAACCAAGGACACCTGTCAAACATGAAACATCAGAAGACATGAGAACAACTTTTGATGGATTGAAAAATAAAAATAAAACATGCTCAAGGAACAAAAGCCCTTACCCATACCATTAATCAAGATCTTCTACTTCTAACAAGGGAAATAACCAACTTTTCACTTAAATGAGACTTATTGCGTCGATTTCTTCCCTTTAGTCACATGGCGAGGCGTTAATTACATGTAATTGTTTTGTGAAAAATGTGGGGTGAAAAAACGCGGGGAATCCAAAATTATGCAAATGTTTGAGAATTACGCGAAAAAACGCGCATATCCTACGGGGACAGTATGACATAGATCTAGTACTGACATCTCTGCTTCTTTGCTTTGTATTTGTGTATTCACATCTAAAGTTAAATTTAATTTTACTTTTTAGTTAGAATTAATATTTAATAAGATACTTTCCCGATTATTTTGGCGGTTGAACATACAATATGAATTGAATTCCGGATTTGTTTTCATTCACAATTCACACCTCAGAGTCGCCGCCTCGAGTAAGATTCTTGTGTGACAATAATATCTCCAGGCCATATCTGGTCCCGTTTCACTTTGTTTGGTTACCCTGTCAAACAAGCCAGCCTTCGCCCCTGAGCCTTAGACTACTTAGACTTAGACTTAGAGGTAACTGTTGGTCATAGTCATAGAGACGACGGACCAGCCACGTGGTTTTCCAAGCGATCATCCCCGACCGTAAATAAATTCATGCAGGATCATCCTCGAGTAACATTTTTTCTTGTGATTCGTTGAACAAGTCCGTTATAAGTTCTTCGAGCGCAGCTTATTAGGCTTACTTGGCTACTCTTTAATCCTATACATGTAAAGGCCTGTCTAGTGTTTTGCGGCATTTACGCATGTCGCGCATCAGGCCTAGATCTAACTTAACACGCAGTCACTCAAACTCAAACACCAGTCAGAAACCTTCTCTCAAAGATACATTTCCAGTTGTGACAAATGACCAGCATGAGTTGCTTCGTCAGCCTGAACTGAAAAAAAGTTGGCAGAGCGTATTCTTTATTCAGTTCTTAGTAATATTTTTAAAATACAGTCCAGCAGTTCGTTTTGTAATATTTTGAAAGTGTGTTTTGCAATAGTAGCGCTCTGCATAATTATGATCAAACAGTATCCGGTCAGATTGAATGTCTCTGTGCAGTACACCAGGAAAGATACCTCTGTTTCACGACAAATCGCCTTTTTCATGACCGCGAAGGGTGAGTTCGAGAGTTCCATAGAACAAAATGCACAATGCGTCCTTGTTCTTTCTCACCCGTTCGTTATACATGTAGTTATAGTGAGACTTTGCAATGCGATGACCAACGTCATGCTGCGCTGCTGGTATTTCTATTAATACGAAAGTGCGATACTTAACGGCATTGTAGATGTGCGCTCAATTGATGACTCTTATCTTTAATGCTTTGTTTCACATGGACAAAATCAGTAAAACCTATCTCAGTACGTACTTTTGGGTTGGTAAGGACTTTATAATTCTTTCACTAATTTGGTTTAGAGAATTGAGTTCATTTGCACGCAAAAAAAAAATCAACTTCATTAATCCTGCATTGGAATCACTCAATACACACTCAAGTAATAAAACTTTCAACACTACACCATTCATTCCAAGAAGGCACAGTGACCTAAATACGTCATGTTGACATCGCTCAAGTCCAGGGTTACAGAGGTGGGGCTAGAGATATAAATGGCAAGACAATGGACCAATCGCACATCACTGTGAGCACTCCAGTGGATTGCTCCGATGCTATCATAATTCGGGCATTGAATCGTGAACTGGTCTGAGATCAGGGGTGAAGCGTCTATATAATCAAATATTAACTGCTTCCCTTTCTAATTTTGAAACATTGTCGCTGTCAAATTCACCTATAATAAACGTAAACCTCATAAATTAAATGTAAAAAGACGTTCATAATCAACAATGAACATAATGCTTAACATTCAAAAAGGTTTCACTGCCACAGAAATAGCCTGCTCACCCCACTCGGGCCACTCCACAAGCAGTCACAAGCTTTGATTAAGTAAGCTTAAAGTGAGGCTGGAAGAGTATACCAATAGGGTTGAAGGGAACATGTGCATAGCAGTAAAAACTGTTTCATTGCCACAAATACCCTGTTCACCCCTTTGGGGCCACAGTTATAAGCAATCACAAACTCTGATTATGTAAGCTAACTATTACACTGGTCGAGTCTACCTCACAAATGTGAGGGGAACTAACTGCTAACAATCTCTTGACTGTTGCAAGTGCTTGCTTTTTTTCCTCGACTTTTTACCGTCCTATAATCAGATCGTGACCTCGATTATGATACCGCTTCCTGGCCGCGAAAGGCTAGACAAAAACAGCCAAATGTGAAATTTAAAAAAAGGATAATTAATTGTCATGTTCTACCAAAGAGTTAGACTCACGGGTAGATCTATAACATATAGATCTAGTACTGACATCTCTGCTTCTTTGCTTTGTGTTTGTGTTTTCACATCTTAAGTTAAATTTAATTGTAGTTGGAATTAATATTTAATAAGATACTTTCCCGATTATTTTGGCGGTTGAACATACAATGTGAATTCCGGATTTGTTTTCATTCACAACTCAAGAGTCGCCGCCTCGAGTAAGATTCTTGTGTGATATCTCCAGGCCATATCTGGTCCAGTTTCACTTTGATTACCCTGTCAAACAAGTCAGCCTTCGCCCCTGTCTGAGATCGTATTATTTTTAACTGCCTCTACGGGCTTTGTTCGGCTTGTGCACAGTGAGATTGTGCCGCCTTATTAATATTTATGTCCTTGTAGTACTTGTACTACGAAACCCACTCTAAAGTTCATCGTTGTTTGGGCCAGCCCATAGAGCATTTTTCGAGTTAGATTACCACCTCTGAACGTGCTATTTATTACTTGGGTGAAGCACGAGGACTTGCTAGGGTATAGTAGATGTTGTAGAGTGCTACAGATGCACTATTGACGGATTAGGCTCTGGCGAGGCACTTGTATAGAAAATTGATTGGATAGTGGTTGTTCAAGGTTCTTTTATTGTTTGTTTGTGGGTGTTGTGCGCATTAAAATTTTTGGGCGGCAGTGCATGACCGTGCTCTATGGGCGAACCGCCCCTGACAGCGCAAGAACCAGCCTCTCATAAATGTTAATTAATTATCTAAATTGTGTCGTTGGGGGCATAAAAACACTTTCATTCAGATTTTTTTTTTAAAGGAAAACAACACCTGTGAAAACTTCTGTCCACTGCAGCATCACATCGGTTCTTACACTCACACAACACGGGTGGAAGGCATTTTTACTACTGACTACACCAGGCGCGGTTCGTCCATAGTACCAAATTTTTGAATGTTCTATTACGTAAAACACCCACAATAATATAATAACAGAAACCAGAAACAAACACTAGCCAAATATTATATCAACACCGAGGTCCTCACTTGCGCCATAACTGTCATTTCTATGTCTATAGCGCCGTAAAACATCTACTATGTGCCAAAGTTCACGCGTTTTAGCTAAATAGAAAAGGATATTCAACAGTGTAACTTGACCTATAAATCGCTCTAGGGGATAACCCAAGCGATGACGACACTCGTAGCGAGTTTGGCGGTACATTAATATTAATAAGCAGGCACATGTCAAATGTGCTCCTGTCGAATAGTGCCGAAACATAGCCCACTGTAGGCAGTCTAAAAATAAACACGATAGACCCTACGCTCTTCTTTACCAGTATTATGGAAGGGAAGCCCCGGAGCAATCCAGGGGAGTGCTCAAGTGAATTGTGATTGGTTAATTGTTTGTCTTGCCACTCTTTTAAGTGACTCTGTAGCCGTGAACCTGAGGGAGGTGAACATGGCCGTCCTGTGCCTTTGAATGGTTTTGTAGTGGAGTAGTGAAAGTTATTACATGTACTTGAGTGTTCAGTTCCAATACAAGATGAACAAAATTGATGTTTAGCTAACAAACAAATTTAGTACTAGAAATAAAAGCGACAAGTAAAAAGAATGAAAATAAAACCACGAGGCCCTCCCTCACCAACCCAAAGATCCTAAACTTATACACCGTCTCAGTTACTATGCCCTTGACTATCTTCAGCATGCTATAGCTTAATTATTATTGTGCACGCCCACTTTTTAGCCCCACAAGCCGCCCCTGGACTACACAGACTCGGAATAAAACCTTCTATCTAGATTTCAGTGCGTGAGTCGGGCAGTCGTGCAGCGCAGGTAGACCATAGTTCCTCTGCGAGAGAGGCTCCTCCTACTATCCTATCACTATCAGTATCAGGCGTACTACGTTCCGCTGGGTGCCGCCCACAGGACATCCTCCATTAGGGCCAACGTTTAATATCCTTGCGCTGCAGTCGGTGTTGTGATGTGAAGCTCTCTTTCGTTTCTACTTTCTTGTGAGCAGAAGAAAACAAGGAAAAGCACAGCACGCCATTCACCGCAGATCGTTGTTGTTCATCATTTTTTTGGTTTGATTGACCTGAACCAGCTTGTATCTTGATCTACTTGAAGAGACAACTTTGTATCAAGATCTAGATCTAGATCTAGGCCTAAGAGATAAATCTAGATTATATCTAGATCTAGATTTTCTAGATTTCTAGATCTAGAATCTAGATCTAGATTCTAGCTCTAGATCTAGATCCAGATCTAGTGCTGGATCTTTGATCAGAGCCAAGACCAACGAAATAACATGGATGCAGATCTGGGGGCAAACGAAACTGTTGTCGATCTCCCCCCTAAAAGTAGGCCTAAAAGACGACGATCACGAAGAAGCCAGTGGTGCTCAGCAGTGAATTGTAAAAATGAACGATATAAAAGACCGGACCTGTCATTTTTTCGGTTTCCTAAGGATAAGGTGAGATGCCGTAAGTGGGTGGTGAACTGCCGAAGACAGGATTTGCTAGGGAAGTCACCAGAGAGTCTCTTTGCTACTAACGTACTCTGCTCAGAACACTTTGAGGACTCTGAGTTTACCAACAGTGTGAGGAGAAATCAGTTGAATCGTAACAATACAGCTGTACCAACGCTGTTTAATTTCAATCATGTAGATTTAGATCTAGATCTAGTAGGAAACTCTAGATCTAGCTCTCCTCTGCTAACAGAATCTTCAAGCTCTTCAAGAACATCAGAGTCGGAGGCAGAGGAAATTCCTCAAACTCAAACGTCATTTTCTCAGGTAAAAAAAACATGATCTAATCTAGATCTAGTCTTATCTAGATCTAGATTCTAGATCTAGATCTTCTGATTGATTTCTAGATCGGAGTGTCTATGTCAAGCGCCATTTGCCGATCAGCGCGATCTTAAGATGGCGCAGAACCATTTACCATATGACGATCTGCAGAAAGCGCGGCCATCTCGAGATGGGCGCGCCATCTACGGATTATTTCCGAAAATGAATAGAGCTGCGCGATCTTTATTGCGCAAAGCAAGCAAGAATTGCGCCATCTGCCGATCTCTTGGACACACGTACACAAACACAACAACATATTATTATTATACATACACATAGAGGCGAGAGTGGCAAAGAAAGAGAGAGAGAGGCTGTATGGGCAAGTGATACTTGCGTCCTCTTGAACCTTTTTAAAAAATTTTTTGAAATTAGTGATAAATAAATTCTGCGCAGTTTTGTTTGTGAACTTTGCAAAATCGTTTGTTTGTGTGTGATGGCGCGTCGCGCCCATCTCGAGCTGGCCACACTTTCTGCGGATCGTCATATGGTTCTGCGCCATCTTAAGATCACGCTGATCGGCAAATGGCGCTTGACATACCTACGTACACGGTAACCGGGCACCCAGCCTCAGTGTCTATATGTAGGCCTACACGGTAACAGGCAACTGGGCATGTAGTCTCAGTGTCACCAGAGACTATAATCCAGTTCAGAACTCCAAGTTCAGTTTTTGTCATCCGGTGTTGCCTTCATCCCCACCCCCTCCCCCGAGTGTACCTTAAAAAAATGAAGTGACTATTTCTCCGAACATTCGGGGAAATAGTGCAGATCTTTATTTCTCTGAACGGTTTAGATGGCTTCCGGTCTCGTGATTTTTTTGCGAGAGTTCTGCTCAGTTCGGCGCCAACTTTCATTCTGCCATTCTGTGAGGTCTGGGAAGGAGCAAATTTTTGGGTCTAGATTCTAGATCTATTTCAATTTTCAAAAACGTGAAAAAGAAATGTTTCACAACAGAATGAAATCAAAATTAGAACAGCTCATAAACAACCACAAAAATTAACAAATAAGGGTGTGTGTCCACTTGTCCGAAGAAGATTGGCTGTTTTAAACCTAAATGTGCGTAATTTTTAAAAAAAGTACAGGATATTACATCGTCGGTCCACTTATAAAACCGTGAATTCCACAAATTTTCTAAAATGTTTTTTTTTTCATTTTTTGATAGTGCTCGGTGAGATACATGTCCCTGTAAAACAATTTTTCAATTATCTCAAATCAAACGTGTAATCTGACGTAATAAGAAAATCGTGAATAAACACCGTGCCCCAAAAGTCGCCGACGTATTTGCAAAAATTATTCTATTTTGCATATTTTCGTTTAAATGGACCCATTCTGCAGCTTGTGTCTAAGGCAGGAAGACGTATCTCTGCACTTCAAATAGGATATTTCACTATGGCAAACAGACGTAACTGAATCAAAGGGCCATGACCGTATTTCCAATGGCTGCGCGATGTAATTCAAAATCATATAAAGTACAGATACGTCGCTCTGCCTTGGCATGGCTGCATGGTTCTAGCAGCATTTTCCTGACCTATTTTTGTTGCTTTCTAAAAATAGACGAAAGAAGGAAATCACATTCTGCTTGTTTTCTTACAATATTTATTATGTCCTTTGGCTTTATAACTGTGCAAAGTTTGGTGACTTTCTTTATGTCAGTTATTTTTGTCACGGTGATCATGTGGAGAACACCTTGAAATAGGTACGCAGGGTACAAGACAAAAACTATGGCGGTAGCCAGTGGATTAAATTAAAGCCGATGAACAACTAAACAAAGCATCTCGCCTTCTATTCCCAGGTGGTTGTCAATCATGATACACCGGTCTCGCCCTTGAACAGAGGTAGAGGCTGTCCAAGAGGCCGCAAGACTTTGGGCAATGTAGACATCTCCCAGATTTTTTCAGAGGCTGAGGCCAGAGAAGAAGTCCGTAGGACAGCTGGGATTTCCGTCTGTACGGGTAAGAGCAGAGCAGGCAGGGTAAAAACAACTGTTTAAGTTATGTGTCTGAAAGCCTTTCCTTATGTATCAGTTTTATGATGTTCTTTGTCTCTTTCTTTTGCTGTTACACACGTCTTTTTTTTTTGTTCTTTTTTTCTTGCACTCTTTCTTCCGTCCATATCTTTCTACTCATTTCTGTCTCTCTGTCTTGTCTTCTTACCCTCCCCCTTTCATTCCAGCTATTACAGTGGAACTCGGGTTCAACGAGGTTGCTAGGCCTGAACTAAAATCTTGTTGAATCCGAGTGTTCGTTTTTAAAGCAAACATAAGGTTTTATAAATAATTACAGGCACTGAGCAAATAATGTATAAAGGGAAGTAACAAGTGGTGTCTGAAATGCCTGCATATTATAAGCTGTGCCAAAAAAACAACAACTGACCTCTTAGTTCCAATGCATGCCTGTGTCATTTTGATTGTTTGCCAAAAAGTTATGCTGATGTGTAGAGCCTAGCATACGGCAACTTTTTATGCCATAGACCGGCGCACAGTTCATATATGTAGATCTGTGTCAAGCAGCAAAAGCAGGCATTGATGTCAAGACTAGCTTATCATTGTAATAATGGTCAGGTGCCAGTGGGAGGGGGAGACTGTGACACGTTTGTATTTGCGACGTTTTCCACGTTTGGACTGTTGGTGCCGCCCGCCCCCCCCCCCCCCCCCCCTGACAGGCACACACAGTCACACGTGTGCTAGCCGCCCATCCGACCCTGACACATGCTAGGCCTAGCCTAGAGTAGAAACGTGCGCGTGCCAATGACACGTATGTTGGTATGAAAGAAGGCCGCTGATTGGTCGCATGCAATCGGCTAAGTGAATAATGGTTCACGATGCAGGTGCAATGGATGGTTTCCGGGAATAGGCCGAGACAAAGGTTGTTGTGGGAGAAAAATGAACGAAGCCTCGTCTGCGAGGGCTGTTCACCCTGGAAGTGATCTCGTTGAATCCGGGCTTGCTGATTTAAATGCTCGTTGAATCCGGGTTATTTTTATTGATTTTAAAGAAGAAAAAAACAGGGAATCCATCTCCTCTCGTTGAATACGAGTTCCACTGTATGGTCCTCTTTTTTCCTTGCGGTTTGAAAAAGATGTACTTAGATACCGGATTTATAGAATATAAGTCAATACTTTGTATGCTTATCTTTTCTATGAATGTGGAGTCCAGTACTGTATTTTGTTTTTGTAAAATTGCTTACCTTGACCAAAATATAAAAGTATGTGTCATGACGTGGTGGAATCAGGCGCTCGTCACTTTATGGGCATGTGGGGTTATTGGTACCATCTGAAAGCTTATTCATCTGCCTTGCTTTCAATGAAAACTATAACCATCTATCTTGAATAGAAGTCAAGATATCTTCGATTGAATGATGTGAGGTAGCCTGATTTGAGTGGTGTACTTAGCGAGAAAATGGCGGCCAAAGTTTGGTGACTCCAATAGCTAAAGAGTCCTCAAAAACTGAAAAATAATATATTTTGTGGCTTTATTCAACGGTTTTCAGTAAAATTCACATGGAAATATGTTTTTGTATGGATGTACAAGGTGTTGATGAGTCAAAAAAATTTTAATAAAAGTTGCCAAAGCGGCTGAAAAATGCCTGTTTCTTCGATTTTGTTATTATAACAAGCGCCTGATTTCACCACGATGCCTCACATATGATGCTGATGTTGGTAATATAATGCCATTTGATGGGTTCTGTTAATGATTTTTAAAGGTGTGAGGCTTATTATGTAAAGTCATTTGATAGGATGCATTCTGTTCCCCTGTCTCTCATTTTCATTATACATATTATTCTTCTGTATCCTTTCGTTATCCTCAGTTGGCATACAGACTGATCCTGTTTACATTTTGCCAATGGAAGGTGAGTAAAATATCATTTTGAGACAGTTTGTGAGTAGGTGCTCTGGTGTGGTCTTATTTCTTTTCAGTGTTACCACTGCTTGAGTTCAGTAGACATGTGGAAAATTGAGGTGGTGATATGTTGGCAGGTGCTCTGGTGCGGTTTTCCCCTTTCCGGTCAGACATCTATCGTCCTAATCTCTCCTCCTCCTTTATTTGATAATTTATATGTTACCCTCTTGTAACATCTCTAATCTATGGCACTGATATGACCTGTTTGTGTAGCAAGTGCCATATATATGTGTGTGGCCCTTCACAAGGTGCAAAATTTCAAAATGAACTTTTTTGCATATTTTAAAAGACACATCTTTTCTGAGCATTTTGCACTTTATTTGAAAGCAATTGGAGGATTTTGTGAAAAGTTATGGCATTTTAAAGCGAACAGGGGTTCGAGTGTCTAATTTTGAGAAAACAGGTTTTAAAGTTTTGCTTACTTTGGGAACACATTTTCCATGATGACAATGCATAGAAGCAAATAATGCTGATACCACAGCATAGAGGTGCCATTCGTGGACAGTTTGCTTTTTATTTTAGTGTAATACCTCTCTTCTTTGTGAAGTTATGACTGTTTTTATGTTACAACAGTAAATCATTGAATTACATAAAAACGCGCCAAAAAAATATGCTCCTCTCGTGTCATACCAGCAAAAAACAAACGCAGGTCGTCAAAAGCAGTTGATTCGAACTGGCTGTTGCAAGGCAGGCCATCATTGAGCTTGCAGAAGCACTTCAGGCCCTTCAACTTCGCAAAGCTGTCTGCTCCACACCCTTACCTTCTGGCACCATAAAGGCTGTCACTGTCCCGTTCTCTATGAAGGTCACCCCTAAGGCATCATCCTCGTCTGTAGATACAGAAATTAAAAGAGAGCGATTTAAAGGTGTGCAGCTTGCATAATGAAATTTACAGTGTTGTACACCACTGTATTTAAATGACCACTATTAGTTCAAACAAACCAGTGATTAATGATCACCAATTGAGAATAATTTGCTCCGTGATCCCTTTACAGTTGACAGGTTGCAACAAGAAGCCAGAATTTTTGTCCATCATTCTGTCACCTCTTGCTTTCGTTTTGCACCGCTGTATTTTTATATGGACCTACTCAGTTTAAGAAATTCACTTTCATGTGACGACAAGTTTGTGACAGATCATCACTGCGATAGTGCAGCATCTCTCTTTTCTTGGTTCTTTTCAAGTCAAATAATTAAAGAGTATGTATTCAGAATAGATATATTTCTTAATTGTAAAGGAATTTTAAAATTTAAAGCAAGAGTCAGCATCACACTGAACTATAATGCTATAATATTTTATTTAATTGAGAGGCATCACCTTCAACAATACAAGTTAGTGTGGTGCAGCATCTCTCATGGTTCTTTTCAAGTCGAATAATTAAAGCTAAAAAGTATGTAAGATCGGTTATTTTCTGCTTTGTAAATGAATCAAGAAATTTAAAGCAGGTGTTAGCATCAATATAAATTGTAGTAGTAGTAGCCCTAGTCTATTATTCAATTCCATTGATTGAGAGAGGCATTACCTTCTCAGCAATACTGGACTGGTCAGCATCACTTTGTTGTTGTAGAGCACAGAAGTCAGAGACTCTGGATCTGCTTCACTGGGAGCATGGGAGGGGGGCTGCGAAGGTCCTGGGCCAGCAATTGCACCTAAGAGATCAATGAAAATAGTATGTACAATGAAATAAAACTGAAGAGATCAACAAGAATTTATCTGTGTAGTGTGCACTGGATCATCTCCACACGTCTAGAAAAATACTGTTTACAGAGATACACAACTGGCCCTGGATTTATTTAGTCTTAGATCTAGGCACAGTCAACAATGTGTCTGGTGACTTGGTGTATAAAGTTTAAAACAATACACTATAATGTCATCTAGATCTAGATCTCAACACACACTGCAGTGAGACTTGCTTCATCATACAGATAGGTAAGCGACAGGGATCTAAACAACAGCTGCAGGCTCGAGTAACTTCCATCAAGAGTTTTAAGTTAAGTGTCATAGGAGTCCAGATGTAGAAGAGTAATAAGTCTAGATCTAGTCAAGTGTCTAGTTAGTCTAGTCTAGTCTAGTACAATCTTGACCTAAGTCTATAATAACGTTGACAGACTTGGTCTCGTTCTAAGAGTTAAGCTACCGTATAGTGATAGATCTAGTCGATCAAGATCTAGATCTAGCTCCTCCAATTCTAATACACTGCTAGAGGTAGGATAGAATCTAGAAGAATACGCAGTTCTTTAATCTAGCTGATACAGTGGAATCCTGTTATAAAGAGAGGGAGGGGACCGGTGCGAAATGTCCGTTATAGCAGGATTCTCGTTATTAGGGATCCAGTAATAAATTCAAGGGAAATAGTAAAGTAGGCCTACTCTAAGAGTTTGGTGTTCTGTTTGGTTTCCTTTTTGTATTTCCCCTGATGATGATTTAGTTCAACATGATCTCTAGGTCTTACTTGATTGAAAATCGAATCAGGTTTCTTTCTCTAGCACTAGCAATGTTGACAAATCGGCTTTGGCGATCAGAAAGAAGGGGCTCTGGCTCTAGGTTAACTTGCCCGCTGTGTTGTTCCCCACCCCACCACACCCTGTGGTGCGTTGCGTCTGCTTGCGCACGTCACACATTCACTCCATCTATCACAGCATTGTGACCTCTCCATCCCGCACTAGAGAAGTGAGAGGCACGGTATGCCTAGATAATCTAGACTGGGCTGGCCTATCACGTGATGCGTTCTGCTTGTCTGCGCATGCCACACCCTCCCCACTCATTCGCTCCTGCCTTCATTGTTGGTTAGCGTGGGCTCTCCCATTCTTTGTTTCGCTGGATCACCAACAACTTTCTCAACTGGCGAGGTTTTATATGTTTAATTGGTCTGTGTGCTGTGCACAGCAGCAGCATTATTCCGCTATAACCGACTCACGCGACTGTCTGATTGTGCAATAGCAGTATTTTATTTACAAAGATAAAGAAGGAGAAAAAACGGGGTTTTAGAATAGAGTCTTTATAGCAGACTTCTCGTTGTTTCAGGACTCGTTATAAGTGGACTCCACTGTAATTATAAGTTATAAGGACTAGTATAGAAGCTGGGACTGCGGGTATGGTAAACCTTGCTTACCTTCTGATGATGTTATGCCAATTGGTTGAACAGGAACCAGGACTTCTTCTTCATGAAGTTCCAGATCATGGTTATGAGCAGGGGGGTGTGGGTGTGTCATGGCCACGGTCGTCGTCGTAATTGGTTCATCATGTGTCTCCTCCTCCAAACTAGAATCTACTGTCTTCACAATCAATAGGTCTTGCATTGAAATAATCAATAATCAGTTCATCCAATTCATTTTCGTCTGTGATTTGTCTCATTCCAATCCGACTGAGATCGTTCCACATCGATGAAATACGCCACTCAGCTGATCGATCTGCCATCTTGAATCAATTAAATTATGTAAACAAAAGCGCTCGACCACTTGGAAACAGAAAACAATCAGTTTACTTACAGTAAACTCGGAAAAAAACACTTCGTAGAGCAGAACAAAGAACTTAAAGTCAATAACGAACAGTTCATATTTGGTTTGAACGGCAGGAAATGGTACATTAGATGTTAAACTGCATTCATGACAAATACCATTTCAGAAGTGAAACTACAACACAGAACTATTTGTTTGTTCACACAGTGACATTCATGCGCACTGGGTTTTCCCGAAACGGCAATAAAATTCTCTTTCTTTTGGTATATAATATGTGAGGGTTCCCGTGGAAAGAAGTGTCTATCCGATTGAGTAAATATTCCCCCTGTTTGTCTAAGAATTCAGCGTAATACGGCGACGATATGTCCTCCAAAATAATTATTTTAAAATATTTTCAATCACTTTTGAGCAAAATTTCTTAAAACATATGATGTAGAAAATGTCTATCTTTCTGAATTTCATATAATTTCGTTTTCGATAAAAATGAAGTTCAGGGCCCATTTTTAGCGATATCTCAGAATAGCTTCTCGCACCTTCCGACGGGTTTTCTCAGAGCCGCTCACATATGACTTTTACTAATACAAACAAAAGTTTATTACTGTGTGTGGTAAAGATTTATCTTTTCTTTTTTTTTTTCTTTTTTTTGTTTGAAATGTCTTCCCTTGCAAGTTTACTTGGTTTGTGTCTGTGTAGCTGTTTTATATTAGTCAAGACAAATGCTACCTTCAGTGGACAGTGGAACTGCAAGATGGCCGATGTTGTTGTTGGTTTCAAATCCTTTTAGCTGCAAGTATTTCACTCTTGGCAGTGCTGTGCCGCCCTCAAGTAACCACATGTCCTTGTCATCTGGTCAACGCCAGAATAGAGCAGGCTTTGTAAGTCTGTAGGTGTATGTAGGAGCCTGCGTGGAAGAACTGCCTGGTTTGGGCATTGTGTAAGAGATGTTAACAGTCTCCTCGTGGTAGTCAGTGTCTACAATGTGGTTCCCTCATGGGGTTAATTCTGTTTATGTGCTTGTTGGTGTGTAAGTGTCCTGTGCATGCTCTTAAGATCAATGTCTCATCGGCTTTACATAATAGATTCGAAGGGTGTTTGGGGTTGGGTTTGTCCAAGTACCCGAAGAGAGATCTGCGAGATGATAAATATAATGTTTTAAAATAATGATTATGTAAGGCTCGATGGAGGCATGCTAGCGTAACAGATATAAACACAAACCAAGACAACTTCCAAGTTTCCTGAAGGCTGTTTTTATTCCCAAATCTCATGTTTTTTAAATGCTTAGCTTTGCATGTACCTGTTTACCTTGCATTTCCAAATGAGGGTCCAATATGCCATGTTGGCATTGGTGCTACATTACAGGTTTATTTTGCTTTTTCTTCCTCTAGACGCAGACTTTATGACGGTTGGCACAGATAGAGGATTGTCTGCCCGCCTCACTCTGGACTCTGCACGGAGACCTCCAGGGACCAGCCAGGGTCTTGTGCGTCATCACTGCAAGATCTGCGGCGCTGCCTTCGTGGGCGAGTTACAGCTCAAGCTTCATCGGTGGATTCATCGGATGGCCCAGCCCAGCTCTCAGAGGAGAAGGGCAGCTTCAGTGTCTCAGAGGAAACTGGCCACTCCCGGTTCTGCGAAGAAGAATGAAGGAGTCAGTTTGTTGAGAGTGTTGAAGTGTGAGAATAACGGGGTGGAGGGTTTTGATGCAGACGCAGATCTTGGAGCGATGGAGATCACTGTGTTGTCTGATAGGAGAGTGATAACGCCGTGGCAAACTGGGCAGGAGAACGTGCCGGTAGAAGAACTTCCACACACTGTGAAGCAGACAGGTACTCTAGGGATTATGTCAGGGATTATTGTTGGGAAGAAAAGACCGGTTGGTAAGTTACAGCGAAGTTTGCTGAAGGACAGGCTGCCAAGGGAGAGTAGTCAGAAGAGTAGTGACAGCCAAGGCAAGACGCCAAAGAAGTGCCCAGTGTGCGGGGAGATGTTTGTGAAGCCCGCGGCCCTGAGAATTCACCTGTCTGAGCACCTGTACTACGACATACATCGAGGCCAGGTGTTGATTCGTGGGGCCATCATGCCCAACACCAATGGGACCGGCCTGGGCGTCATGGAACAGACTTCGGCAGGTGAAGACCTTGCGGGTGAGCAAGAGGGACCCCCGCCGGACGGGCTGGCCAAATCAAACGGGCCTGTGCCATATAGCCACAGCGATGTGAAAGGTAGTGAGTTCAGCTACGTTTGTACTCTGTGTAATGTAGGATTCATGCGTAAGAAACAGTTAAGTGCGCATAGGCACTCGGAGCACAGCAGCGTCAAGTGCGCGTACAAGGACAGGGCGCTGGTGCTCAAGTCGCCCTCGTCCATCATTCGTAAGTCCAACAGTTGTGAGATCTGTGGGGAAGTGTTTAAGTCACTATCCTCCTTGAAGATCCATGTGCTCTGCCACAATGACTCTTCTACTTCTGAGGCACTCGGAGTTCACAAGAAGCTGCACAAGCCGAAAGATCCTGAAGCCCAGCCTGCTGAAAAGTTGGCAATGGAAAAGTTTGTCTGCGATGTCTGCGGCAAGACAGTTAAGTCGATGAAGCAGTTACGGTACCACCTGTCGCGTCATGCAGGTGGGAATACATTCACATGCCGAGTTTGCAAAGAGAAATTCTCCTCCAAGAAACTGTTGAAGGCCCACCAGACTGAGCAGGGCCATGTGGCCGACAAGCCGTTTATCTGTGAAGTGTGCGGCTCTGCTTACTCTCGCATCTCCGAACTCAACAGACATCACTTCGTGGTTCATGTCAAGAACAAAGATAAAAAGAAAACTGTAAAGAAGACAAGAGAGGAAGGAAGTTTCCCTTGCGAGCTTTGCGGGAAAGTTTTTCGCTTCAAAAACAGGCTGCAGTACCATGTTGGTTTGCATACAGGGGAGAAATCGTATGAGTGCGAAATTTGCCACAAAACTTTTTGCTACTCAAGTTCTCTGTCTTATCATAAACGGAAGCACAGGGAGACAAAGGTGAGAGAGAAGGAAAAGGTAAGAATGACTTGTGAGTATTGCCATAAGGTTTTCAGCAGCAAGCAAGTATTGGACAGTCACATCAAATACCACACAGGTGAAAATCTCCACACCTGTGAAATTTGCAACAAGTCTTTTGCCTACAAGGCATCATTCGTCTTGCACAAACGAATCCACGAAGGCGAGCGGCCTTACGAATGCGACGTCTGTCACCGGCGATTTGTTCGCCAGTGCCACTTAAACTGTCACTACCGCATCCACACGGGCGAGAAACCATATCCTTGCCAGATCTGTGGCCAGAGATTTCGGCAGCTGGGTGACCGCAACTCGCACCAGAAGCGTCACGCCACGCAGGCCGCCAAGGCATCCAACAACGTGTCGAGCAGCACAGCAGCAGTCCAGACACAGGTGGAGGCCCAGGTCCCAGCCACAATTCAGATTCAAGTCCTCACGCAGCAGGACAATGAAACGGCCGCTTCGGTCATTAGTATTCTTTGAGGCTGCTTATTCTCTTCTACATTGCGCTAAGGCTTCATACTGTGAGAAAGATTCCTTTTCATTTTATAGTTTACTTTGGGACACTTCCAATGAGTCGTTCTACTCCCAGTACAGCGACTTAAAACTTGAACATGATGACTTTGCTGTGAATTATCTTGTTATCACCATTTTTATCAGCTTGACAATGGTGGAAAATATGTACTTGTTATTGGACAAATGACATAGGTGGCGACCTTGCCTGTTGCGTCGTGTTAAGTTCTCAGCAGATGACAGAAATAAAAAATTCTTGTAAAATTGCTTCTGATCATATCCAGCATGAAAAATACTTTGGGAAAGCTGGTGTTTTTGTTCTTGACAATAATTGTACAGTAGAACTCGGATTCAATGAGGTCGCCGGGCCTGACCTAAAATCTCGTTGAATCTGAGTGTTCGTTATAGCAAACATGAGGTTTTGTGTAGATAATTACAAGCACTGAGCAAGTAACGTATAAATAATAGAGAGAAATAACAAGAGGTGCCTGAAATGCCTGCCTATTATGAGCTGCGTTAAAAAAAGACAGACCGATTCGTTCAAATGCACGCCTATGTCATCTCGCCAAAAAGTTGTGTGTCTGTGTAGAGCCTAGCTTATGGCAACTTTAGATTCCCTAGACCAGCGCACAATTCGTTACGAAGGTCTGCGCCAAGACTAGCTTATCATTGTAATAATGGTCAGTTGCCCGGGGGATAAAAAGACTGTGACTCGTTTATATCTGCGACGTTCCACGCCCGGACCGCTTGTGCCCTCGACACGCACTCACAGTCACACGTGTGCTGTCTACCCATCCCTGACACACACGTACCAACAATACATGCATTGGTATGACTATGAAAGAAGGCCGCCAATTGTTCACATGCAATCGGCTAAGTGAATAATGGTTCACGATGCAGGTGAAATGGATGGTTTCCGGGAATAGATAAAGTTCGTTGTGGGAGAAAAATGAGCAAAGCCGCGTCTACGGGGGCTGTTCACCCTGGAAGCGACCTAGTTGAATTCGAGCTTGCTGATTTAAGAGCTCGTTGAATCCGGGTTATTTTTATTGATTTTAAAGAAGAAGAGAAAAAAACGGGGAATCCGTCTTCTCTAGTTGAATCCGAGTTCTTGTTAAATCCGAGCTCGTTGAACCCGAGTTCCTCTGTACTTCAATATTCTGAAGAAAGATCGTGCACAAATAAAATTCAAACCACGCTTTGTTAATTTTACTGTGAGCTGTCGTTGCATTATTTAAAGTTTTTGTCCGTACTGTCATAAAAAAGGGATGATAATAGCTTAAATAACTTCTAACATTGTGATTAGATCTGCGTTAGTGAAAAGAAAATACAAGTGACACATAAAATATTACACACACATGATAAGATGTTCGGTCTTTGGGAGTTTGTTCTGGTTTTTTTCATATTTTTCTGAGAGCTAGAGATGCAAAAAGGCCTGGCCAGGTTACTGTACTGTCGACATGTACGCCTTATAAGTTACGGAGTGGCTAGTCGCCCGATCTCGAGTGGCTAGTTTTTGCTACTCGAACAAATTTGGTTGAGTAGCCTGACGCTTCTGGCCCGTAGAGATTTCTATGCATGTTCCAGCGAACGAATTCGGTCGATTAGCCTGCGGCTTCTGTGCATGTTCCGTTTTCTGGCCCGTTGGAATTTCTGCTCATGCTCCTTTAGAAATCGCGCAAGATTCAGTCACTCCTAGGTCCTTGTCCTCAGACTCAGAGTCAAGAGTCATGTCGGTCAACTTTGCATGAAGATGGGACTGGCCATAATGCGTGCAATAATGAATGACTGTATTGCACAGGGTCAGCTTGTGACCCAACGCAGAGAGAAAACAACAGGAGTCAGTCATTCTAATTATAACAAACACCCCCCCCCCCTTCTCTCCCTCCCTCTCTCTTTCTCGTTTTCACTCTCTCTTTTTCTCTCTCTGCCTGCAGACAAAATTTCTCGCTCTCAGTCTCAGCTGAGACGAGGTAAATCTAGCGCCCAAGTCTCGTTCAGACGCAAAATAGGGCAATATTGAAACATCTTGGTAGTAGTTAGTTAAGTTAGACTATCTTTGATAACAACATCATGACTCTGCATAAATTCCACTGTTAGTAACTTTGTCATTATTATTCCGATGAATGATAATAATTAAATAATAAAGGGTGATAAATCTAGGGGATCTAGTCAACTCGCGTGTGTTACTCAGTGCTTTTGCAAGTGTGGTGAAGCAATTTGCTAGTAAATTTGTGTTCTAAAATGCTGTCTTTCTTAATTTTTGTAGTTTAAGAATGCCATGAATTCTGACATAGCTTATGAAAATGCATCATGTATACGTGCATTGCTAACCCTATCCGTATGTCATGTTTTACTATCGTATCCACACGACACAGGGAACTCTACTCTGTGCCACCACTTTCCAAAGAGGAAATTTATTCGTAAATCCGATCCGTACGCTTTGCATAGCAGTCTGTCAAAATGATTTTTATGAAATACTGAAAGTTTTACGTACTAGAAGTAAAAGTATTCTAAAATGTGAAGAATACAACCCTGGAGGTACAAAATGACCCCAGGGCGTACGGGGTCGATAGACAATTATTTTTTTTTAATTGTCAGTTTTAGTTGTACATATATGGTATGTATTAGCCGTAAAATTTTGTTGTGATAATGTCACTGAAACTCGATTGTACTGGTGTGTGTGGTTGTCAGATGCTCATGTGTAGTTGTGATTCTTCTTTCCTCTATGAAACATCTATCGTCCTTATCTGATCGCTCCTCCTTTTTTGTGTATGGTTAATATTGTTAATGTTACTCTCTTGTGATACATCTGCGGCACTTATGTGGCCTTTTTGTGTTGCAAGTGCCGTAAAACTCTTACTGAAACTAAACCGTGTTTGTATAAATTATATTTTTATTATATATTTCATTACATGTACCTTTCCATAAAAATAACTCTGCTTTTGTTTCCGGGGTTTACTGTTTGGGCAAATTGCTTTCTTATCGTGTACAGTCGAACCTGCCTAGACGATCGTCATCCATTGTCAAGGAGAAAAGTGGTCTTTGTAGACAGATTGTCTTTTTGGACTGTTTCATTCATTGTAATTAGGCTTGAATAGAAAAAGAGATAAGTTATAAGTGTAAGGGTAGAAGTGGATAGTGGTTGTTTGTACAGGTCGTTGTCTTGGACAGGTGGTCGTTTGAGCAGGTTCAGTTGTTGTGTAATGTATTATATTATATTTGAGTCCTACAGCTCAATTGTGTACTGATTGGTTCATGCTTTGCACTCTTGAAGATTAAAAGATGAACAGTTAACATTTGCTGTTGGTTATAAACTTGTTAGTTTTTTTTATTAACCAGAATGATACTGTGGAACTCAGATTCAACGAAGTCGTCGGGCCCGACCTCAATTTGTTTTAAAATGAATTTCATTAAAGCAAACATGGGGTTTTTGTGTTGACTGGCACAGAGCAAGTACATGTAGTAATAATTTATGTATTTAGCTCCATCAATCAAAAGTACAAACACACATGTGGGGGTGGTTGGCTGGTGCTCTGGTCTGGTGTGGTTTGCTTCTTCTTTCCTGTCAGTGTCAGACATAATCTATCGTCTTTTCTTTATCTCCCCTCCTTTTTAATTTGTGTGTTTGTTACTCTCTTGTAACAGTTCCTCTAATCTCCGCCACTTATATGACCTTATTGTGTTGCAAGTATCGTAAAACTCTTCCTAAAACTAAAATATAGTTTGGTTTAAATGAGAGGCATTTTTGCTTCTTTGGTGAGATATCAAAGAAATGCTGGAAATTTCTAGGAAAATACACTCATCTCTATCAAGTACACGCTGTGCAAAAGGCCCAATTAGTTCAAATGCACGCCTCTGTCATCTATTATCCATGACTTTCTTACTTCTTATAATTATTGTTTGCCAAGTAAGTTGGGTTGCTGTGTGAAAGCATAGAGGGCAACGTTTGGTTCCTCACAGACCAGCGCGCAATTCATTACGTAGATTCAGATTAGGTACATGACATTACCACAAGCGAAAATTTGGAATGTCAAAAATCAAATTTTTCTACCTCCTTAATTTGAATCTACTCACAGGTAAGACTTTGACAAAACATGAAGAATTATCAAAAGGAAAAGGCTAGCCGTACTTGATAAATCAATATATGATGGCTAGACTGACACTGACAAACACTTCAAACAGTAAAACATAGGCCTACTGCATTGTACTTAAGTACGACTAGACGGCTAAGCTAGCCGTACTTAATAAGATATTATGATACATGTTTAATGTAGCTGAATTATATAATTTTAGATTGCAATAGGCCTACCTAAAGTATTTTTTAAATTTCAGATGAAACCTAAAGGGGCCTTACTGACATGCATGAATTTTAGACCTGAATGAAAATTAAGTAGCCTACTAGATCTAATGAGACCTGTGTACTCAACAGGTTTCGGTCAATAGGGCCTAACCTATAGATCTAACTAAGTAGGGCTAGACTGGCAGGCTGGCCTCTTCATCAAAATCCGCACTCAAACAACTGAATTATGATTGTTTAGAATTTTAAAGGTTGGTAACAGGCCTGAAGCAAGTAAAAATACAAGAAAGATAACGGTACCATTGCATTTTGATCAAAATTCTTTAACCACGAGACCCGAATATAATATTGAAATCATGCTTTTTTTTTTAGAGTTAGAGTATCGGAAAAGAGTCAGTTGTGACTGTAGCCATAGGAATAGGAAGTAGAAGGAATGATGGCGAGAAAAGAAGATCAGAAAAAAATCGCCAAGGCATAGACTTTTACTGATTCTGAGATTTAGTTCTAGGGCTCTATGAACACCATTCTTCTTATTTTAAGACCATTCTTCCAAACTCCTCCGCCCCACACACACATGACACATGCATTGCATACGCACTCGCACTTAAGTAAATGTATCGTAAACACACACATACGCACGCACACACTTTTTCTCAGATAACGCAGTGGTCGGTGTTCTGAAGCTCTCTTTTGTTTCTTCACCCTCTTGCGCGCGCTGATCAACTGTTCCTCAATTTATTTAATTTTTTTGGTTGAGTCAGAGACACAAAAAAAACTTACTTACTTGGTTGGAGAATAGGCATCATTGCTGCAGGCGGCACAATGCCATAGCTGCTCCTCCGCCTCTGTCCTCAGGATCCATGAAAGGGTCTGCCTGCTAATCGTGAACGTTAACAGTTGGACTATCTGGCTTTTCTATGCAGGTTGCTGTCTCTCCCCGACCCTC